TACTATAAAACTGGCCTTTATATTTGCTCATGAGATTACCTTTATTGTAGAGCATTTTTTTTTTACATATAGTTTTGAATTATTGTCTTGTGTCCTTCAATTTTATTTGAAGAACTCCCTTTAGCGTTTCTTGTCATGAAAGTCTAGTTGTCATGACCTCCCTAGCTTTTGTTTATCTGGGAATGACTTAGTTTCCCCCTCATTCTTGAAAGATGCTTTTGCTCTATAAAGAATTCTTGGTTGACAATTCTTTTCTTTCAGCACTTTAAATGTCATTCCACTGCCTTCTGCCCTCCAAGGTTTCTGAGGAGAAATAGGCACTTACTTTTATTGAGGATCCCTTGTATGTGACATTTTGCTTCTTTCTTCTTGTGCTCATGATTCTCTATCTTTGATGTTTGAGAGTTTGATTGTTTGTGCCCGCAGGCAGGCCTCACTCTTGTCCCTCAGCCCTTGACCTGGCCTCTGTCCTGCTTGGGCAAGTGTTACAAAGCTCTTTGTCTCCACTGATACGTGCTCGGAGGCACTGCCAGGAATCCTCCTGCCCAAAGGCTCTCAGCTGTCTTCCTCTGAGGGTCTGCAATCCTCGCTTGTTGGTCCCGTGCTGCTGCTGTCTTGTGCCATTTTCAATGTTACAGCTCTGTCTGTCTTCTGGGTCTAGGCAGTTCTCAGTGCAGGGACCGCAGGTCCAAACGACATGCTCCACTCCTGACTCTTCTTCTTGATGGTAGTGAGGTCCCCCTCCAGCCTCTGGGATTGACTCCTTTTAAGCCTAGTGGGATAGCAAAACTGACCAATCCCATACGAAGGTTCTATACACCTTATTTGCATTAGAAAACTATCCAATCACTTTGATGGGCCACAAGCACCATATTTGCATAATCCCAGCCAATCATTTTGTGGGAGTTATAAGACCATGGCTGCTGTTGGTACGTGACGTTGAGTCAGTTGCGACTCAGAAGGGCCGTATAATAGTAATTGACTACATTGCACTTGTTCTTCACCGGTGCTTTCAGTGTGGCTCGAACATCTTCCTGCAGTGCCAGCAGCTCTTGATCACATGCTACTTCCTGAAATTGATGAACGTTGACCAGTTCTTTGTGGTACAGTAACTCTGTGTATTCGTTTCATCTTGTTTTGATGCCTCCTATATCATTCAATTTTTTTTGCACATAGAATCTTTCAGTAATGCAACTGAAGGCTTGAATTTTCTCTTCAGTTTTTTCAGCTTCAGAAATGCTAATTGTGTTCTTCCCTTTTGGTTTTCTAACTCCAGGTCTTTACGCATTTCATTATAATCCTTTACCTTGTTTTCTTGAGTTGCCCTTTGAAATCTTCTGTTCAGCTCTTTCACTTTGTCATTTTTTCCATTTACTTTAGTGACTCTGCACTTAATAGAAAATTCCCAAGTCTCTTCTGACATCCATTTTGGTCTTTTCCTTCTTTCTTGTCTTTTTAATGACCTTTCACTTTATGTATGGTGTCTGTCATGGATTGAATTATGTCCCCCTAAAAATGTATGTATCAGTTTGGCTGGGCCATGATTCCCGGTATTGTGTGATTTTCCTGTATGTTGTGAATCTTGCCTCTATGATGTTAATGAGGGAGGATGGGAGGCAGTTACGTTAGTGAGGCAGGACTCAATCTACAAGATTGGATTGTGTCCTGAGGCAAACTCTTGAGATGTAAAAGAGACAAGCAAGCAGAGAGACAGGGGAACCTCATACCACCAAGAAAGCAGTGCCAGGAGCAGAGCAAGTCCTTTGGACCTGGGGTCCCTGCACGGAGAAGCTCCTAGTCTGAGGGAACACTGATGAGAAGAAGGCCAACAGAGAAAGAAAGCCTTCCCCTGAAGCTGATGCCCTGAATTTGGACTTTAGCCTACTTTACTGTGAAGAAATAAATTTCTTTTTGTTAAAGCCATCCACTTGTGGTATTTCTGTTGTAGCAGCACTAGATGACTAAGACAATGCCCTTAATTCTTCCCACAGTTCTTCAGTCATTAGTGTTCAGTGCATTCAATCTATTGAAGATGGTCTCTAAATTCAGGTGAGGCGTATTCAGGGTCATACTTCGGCTCTCATGGGTTTATGTTAATTTTCATCATCTTCAGTTTGAACTTGCACATGGGTTATTGATGGTATGTTCCACAGTCAGAGCCTGGCTTTGTCTTGACTGATGATATTGAGCTTCTCCCTCATCTCTTTCAACCGATGCAGGCGATTTGATTCCTTTGTAACCCATCCAGCAACATCCGCGTGTATAGTCATTGGTTATGTTGTTGAAAAAAGTATTTCCGATAAGTCATTGGTCTTACAGAATTCTATCATGTGATCTCCAGTGCCATTTCTTTCACCAACGCTGTGTTTTCCAAATCCTGATCCTTTTTCTTCATTTCCAGCTTTCACATTTCAACCACCAGTAATTATCAATGCATCTTGATGGCATGTTTGATTAATTTCAGACTGTAGCAGTTTGTAAATTTCTTCATGTTTCACATTCATGGTTGGTGAATAAAGTTGACTGATGTTTGTATTAACTGGTAAACCCTGTAGGCATAGGATATTAACCTATCAATGAGAACATTGTATTTCAGGATAGAACTTGAAATGTTGTTTTTAACAGTAAATACAATGCAGTTCCTCTTCAATTTGCTGTTCTCGGCATAGTATACCGTATGAGTGTCGGAATCAAAATGGCAATCACAGTCCATTTCAGTTCGCTAATGCCTAGGATATCAACCTTCAAATTTCTACTTCATTTTTGACAACTTCAAATTTTCTTTGATTCATACTTTGTACATTTCATGTTCCTGTTACTAATGGATGTTTCCAGCTGTAACTCCTCATTTTGAGTCGTGCCACATTAGCAAATGAAGGCCCCGAAGGCTTTCCTCCTCCTGCATCATTAAGGTTGACTCTTCTTCGAGGAGGCAGCTCTTCCCCAGTTGTATTTTGATTGCTTTCCAACCTGAGGGGCTCATCTTCCAGCACTATATTGGACAGTGTTCAGGTGTTAGCCATAAGGTTTTCTTTCGTAATTTTTGGAAGCAGTTTGCCAGACCTTTATTTCTAGTTTGTCTTGGTCTGGAAGCTCCACTGAAGCTTATCCACCATGGCTCACCCCGTTGGTATTTTAAATATTGGTGGCATAGCTTCCAGCATCACAGCAACGCACAAGCCACCACAGTATGACAACTGTTTCATCTTAGATGAGTTTTGGTAGCTTGTATTTTTGAGGAATTGGTCCATTTTATCAAATTTGTTTAATTCATGAGCATAGAGTTATTTCTAGTATTCCTTTATTATCCTTTTAATGTCTGCAGGGTCTGTAGTGATACCCCTGTTTTATACTTGGTGTTGTTAAATTAAGGAGCCCTGGTGGCACAGTGGTTAAGTGCTGGGCTGCCGACTGAAAGGTCAGCCATTCGAACCCACCACCAGACGCTCTGCAGGAGAAAGATGTGGCGGTCTGCTTCCGTAAAGATTACAGCCTTGGAAGCCCTATGGGGCAGTTCTGCTCTACGTTGTTACAAAAGAAAACTCACAGTTTTACAAAAGCATCTATGGATGGTTCCGCTTCCAATGGATATACTTCAGAAGAAAAGAAATCTTAATCTAGAGGAATAGAGTGGGTTCTAGAAGGAATGTGATGTGAAGCAAAAGAAGTAAACTAAGAAGAAACAACATCTGATCCCAAGGCCTAGGAGTTGATTACACCAATGGTGATTTGCCTGCTAGAAGCTGTAGTCTGCATTAAAACCAAAACCAAACCTGTTGAGTTGATTCCGACTCATAGTGACCCTAAAGGACAGAGTAGAACTTCCCCATAGGGTTTCCAAGGAGCAGCTGGTGGATTCGAACTGCTGACCTTTTGGTTAGCAGCTGAGCTCTTAACCTCTACACCACCAGGGTTTCTGTAGTCTGCATTAGGAGTCCTTTATATCAGTGCTCTTGTAACGTAGGGATATCATCTGTTCTTCTTCTTCTTCTTTTTTTAAAGAACAGAAATTTATTGTCTTATAATTCTGGAAGCTAAAAGTTCAAATCAAGGTCTTGGCCACATTGATTCCTTCCTTGTTGGTAGTCCTGTGCATTCCTTGGTTCCTTGGCTTGAAGACAGTCCTCACACGGCATTTGTCTTCCCCAGAGTGTGCCTGCATCTGTCTGTTCTGCTCTTTTTGTAGCTCAGAAGTGATTAGGTTTAGGACCCATGCTACCCAGATATGACCTTATTTTTCTCTTTTTATTGTTGTGCTTTAAGTGGAAGTTTACAATTCAAGTTAGTTTCATACAAAAATTTATACACACATTGTTATGTGACCCTAGTTGCTCTCTCTATACTGTGATAGCACACTCCTCCTTTCGACGCCGGATTTCCCGTGTCCATCCAACCAGCTCCTGTCCCTTTCTGCCTTCTCGTCTCGCCTCCGGATGGGAGCTGCCCGTTCAGTCTCATGTATCTACTTGAGCTAAGAAGCACACTCTTCATGAGTATCATTTTATGCCCCATAGTCCAGTCTAATCTTTGTCTGAAGAGTTCGCCTTGGGAGTGGTTTTAGTTTTGAGCTAACAGAGAGTCCAGGGGACATGTCTTCCAGGGTCCCTCCAGTCTCAGTCAGACCATGAAGTCTGGTCTTTTTACTCAGATATCACCTGTTTTTGCTGACATTACATAAGTGACTCAATCTAAAAATACTCATACTTTAATGTGCAGGCCACAAATTATTTCCCCCTTTGTTTGGATAATTATAAAATTGCAGCTGATGAATTGTGACATGTGCCTACCTGAAAATTATTCAACCAAGAGGCTTCACATTCTTATAACTAACCTGGTCCTGCTTCATCCATCCTCTAAACATGAAGTTCTGTGTTGAGAAATCCAGAAATGATGTAGGCTTGTGGCCAAGGCATCATGGTTTTGAGACTGAGATAGTGGGACCTCGTTCAGTTCCAGTAATTTGACTGTTTTGACCCTGAGTGCCTCTCTCTGTCCCCCAGAGCCCAAGGTGGTGTTTGCCAAGGAGCAGCCAGCTCAGAGCAAGGTGCGGGCTGAGGCGGGGACCAGCGCCACGCTGAGCTGCGAGGTGGCCCAGCCCCAGACGGAGGTGGCATGGTACAAGGACGGGAAGAAGCTGAGTGCGAGCGCGAGGGTGCGCGTGGAGGCCACGGGCCGTGGGCGGCGGCTGGTGGTGCAGCAGGCGGGCAAGGCGGACGCCGGGGAGTACAGCTGTGAGGCCGGGGACCAGAAGGTCTCCTTCCGCCTGGATGTCACAGGTGGGTCCCAGAGGTTCCTCTTACCTTCTTTAGGAGCATGATCAGACGGTGGTTGGGAGGAGGTACCATCTCAAATACCTCTTTCAATAACAACAGCTCCCATGTGTTAGCTAGGTGCTGAGTGCCAGCTCATTTGTAAAGTGCTTCCTGTCTTTTTACTTGTTTAAACTTCTGAAAAACTCTATGAGGAGCTCTTATTATTCCCATTTTACATATAAAGCACAGAGAAATTATGTCACTTGCCGAAGGTCTCACAGCCAGAAGATGGCGAAGCCAGGATTTGAGTTCAGTATTCTGGGATTATTTTCCTCCTGCTTGAAGAACTGTTTTCAAGCAGCTATTTCAGCAGGTCTTCTGGTGACAGATTCTCTCACTGTTTTTGTTTGTATGAAAACATCTTTATTTTACCTTCTATGTTTAAATTAATAGGCTTTATATCTTAGAAGTTTTAGATTTACAGGTTTTTGTGTGGATATGGTTTTCAACTCAGTCGGGTAAATCACCAGGAGTATGGTAGCTGAATCATATGGTAAGACTATGTTTAGCTTTTAAGAAGCTGCCAAACTTCCTTCCAAAGTGGCTGTACCATTTTGCGTTCGCACCAGCAGTAAATGAGAGTTCCTGTTGCTCCGCATCCTTATCAACATTGGATATTGTCAGTTTTTGTATTTTAGCTATTTTGATAGGTACGTAGTGGCATCTCAATTTGCATTTAACAACAATGACAACAGCGATATATGACGTTGAACATCATTTCATATGCTTGTTTTCCGTCTGCGTATCTTCTTTGGTGAGGCAGCTCTTTAGGTCTTTGGCACACTTAAAATTTTTTTTTTATCTTCGTGTTTTAAGAGTTCTTTGTATATTTTGGATACAAGACCTTTATCTGATACGTGTTTTATAAACATTTTCTTCCATCCTGTGGCTTGCCTCTTCATTCTCTTCATAGTTTCTTTTGCAGAGCAGAAATTTTTAATTTTAATAATGTCCAGCATATCAATATTTTCTTTTATAGATTGTGTTTTTGGTGTTATGTCTAAAAGTCATTGCCAAAACCAAGGTCACCTAGATTTTCTCCTATGTTGTAAATCTAGAAGTTTTATAGTTTCATGTTTTAGATTTAGGTCTGTGATTTATTTCAAGTTAATTTTTGTGAAAGGTGTAAGGGCTGGGTCTAGATTCAATTTTTTTTTCATATGGATGTCCAATTGTTCTGGCACCATTTGTTGAAAAGACAATCCTTTCTCCATTGAATTGCCTTTGCTCCTTTGTCAAAGATCACTTGATCATATTTATCTGAGTTTATTTCTGAGCTCTTTATTTTGTTCTGTGGAGCCCTGGTGGTTCAGTGGCTAAGAGCTCAGCTGCTGACCAAAAGGTTGGCAGTTCGAATCTACCAGCTGCTCCTTGGAAACCCTATGGAGCAGTTCTACTCTGTCTTACGGGGTCGCTATGAGTCAGAATCAACTTGACGGCAATGAGTTTGTTTGTCTTTTTTTGGGGGGGCGGTTTATTCTGCTCTGTTGATCTACTTTAAAAAAAATAGCTTTATCAAGATATAATTTACATGTCCTAAAATTAACTCATTTAAAATATACTATTTGATTTTTTGTAAATGTAGAGTTTTGCAACCATCATCACAATTCACTTTTAGGACATTCCTATCACCCTAAAAAGATCCTTTATGCCCTCTAACTTTACTTTATCAGCTGCACTTGACACAGGTGGTCCTCTGTACTTCCGGTAATGCTCTGGCACTTAGCTTCTAGTTCTCCACAGTTTCCTTTCTATTTTTAACCTGAGCTCACTGACTTTACCTTCTCTGTCTCTTTTATGGCTTCTTCTTTTTCCACAAAAACTTCTAAGCATTAGGTTGCCCCAGGGCTGAGTCTTTGGACCACCTTCCTTCTTCAGTAAGTCATTCCCTCGCTGTCCGTTGATCTACGTTTTTAAAGACCCTTTTTAAGATTTCTACATTTGTTATTTCTGTTTCTGTGTATTACTTCTTTTTAAAGATTTCTATTCTTTTTGATTTGTTAAGGTGTGCTTTATGGACCAGGATGTAGTCTATCTTGATGATGCTTCATGGCAGCTTGAGAAGAATGTGCATTCTGCTGTTGTTGGATGAAGTAGTCTATAAATGTCAGTGTGAACTAGTTGTTCGATGTTGTTAAGTTCAACTATATCCTTAATGATTTTCTGCCTTATGGATCTGTCATTTACTGAGAGGAGTTTACAGTCTCCAAGTATAATAGTGGATTTGTCTTTTTTCTTTTTACATTAAGGATTATTATGTCTTGGAAAATCAGCCCTTGTATCATTATGTAATGCCCCTACTTATCTCTGATAATTTTCTTTGTTCTGAAGTTTATCTGCTTTGTTTGAAATTAATACATCTACTTCAGCTTTTTAAAATTTGTTTTAGCATGGTATGTCTGTATCCCTTATTTCACTTTTAATCTATTTGTTTATTTATATTTAAAATGTTTTTCTTGTAGACAGCATATAGTTGGGTTTTGAATATGCCAGTATATCTTTTATTAAGGAACTCTGGTGGCACAGTGGTTAACCAAAAGGTCAGTGGTTCGAACCCACCAGCTTCTCTGCAGGAGAAAGATGTGGCAGTCTGCTTCCATAAAGATTACAGCCTTGAAAATCCTATGGGCAGTTCTACTTAGTTCTGTAGGGTCTCTATGAGTCAAAATCAACTTGATAGCAATGGGATTTTTTGGTTTTAATCTTTTAATTGTTATGTTTAAGTAATTATAGATATTGTTGGATTAATATCTACCATGTTTGTAACTGTTCTCTTTATTGTGCTTGTTCGTTTCTTTTAATTTATCTTTCGTTATTTTTCTTCCCTGTCTGATTTTAACTGAACATTTTTTATGATTCTGTTTTCTCTCCTCTCTTAGCATTTCAATTATATGTCTTTAAAACATTTTTTTAGTGGTTGCCCTAGAGTTTGCTGTATACATTTACAAGTAATCTAATCCACTTTCAAATAACACGGTATCACCTTATGGCAGTACGAGTACTTTATAACAAAATACTCCCACTTCCTCCCTCCCATCTTTGTACTGTTGTTGTCATTCATTTAACTTATTCATATGCTGTAGTCGCATTGTTGCTATTATTACTCTTAACAGTTATCAGCTCAATTAAGAATAAGAGAAATACAAGATTTTTATCTTACCTTCATTTATTCCTTCTCTTAGGTTTTTTCTTTCTTTATATAGAGCTGAGTTTCTGACCTATATCACTTTCCTTCTCTCTGAAGATCTTTTAATATTTCTTGTAAGGCAGGTCTACTGGTGACAGATTTCCTCAGTTTTTGTTTGTCTGAGAAAGTCTTTATTCTTTTCTTCACTTTTGAAGAATAATTTCACTGGATATAGAATTCTAGGTTGGTAGTTTTTTTCTTTCAAGACTTTAAATTTTTCACTCAATTTTTTTTTTTTTACTTGCATGGTTTCTGATGAGAAGTCTAATTTAATAGTTTTTCTTGCTCCTTTATAGGTAAGGTGTTTTTTTCCTCTTGGCTTCCATCAAGATTTTCTCTTTGTCTTTGGTTTACTGAAGTTTGAATATGGCGTGCCTCGGTATAGATGTTTTTGATAATTATTCTTCTTGGTGTTCTCTGGGCTTCCTGGATTTGTGGTTTGGTATCTTTCATTAATTTTGGAAAATTCCTGGCAAAATATTTCTTCTGCTCCTTTCTTTATTTTACTTCTGCTATTCCAGTTACATGTATGTTATACCTTTTATAATCGTCCCACAGTTCTTGGATATTCAGTTGTTGTTTTAATTCCTTTTTCTCTTTACTCAGTTTGGGAAGTTTCTGTTGATATGTCTTCAAGCTCGCTGATTCTTTCCTCTCTGTATCCAGTCTACTGATGAATTCATAAAAGGCGCTCTTCATTTCTGTCACAGTGTTTTTTATTTTTACCATTTCCTTTTGATTCTTTCTTAGAGTTCTCTCTCTCTGCTTAGATTACCCAACTGTTCTTGCATCTTGTTTACTTTTTTCCATTAGAGCCCCTAACATATCAATCATAGTCATTTTAAATTCCCGGTCTGATAATTACAAAATCTGTGTCTTACCTAAGTCCGGTTCTGATTCTTGCTTTGTCTATTCAGACTGTGATTTTTGCCTTTTAAAATGCCTTGTAATTTTTTGAAAGCTGGCCATGATGTGTCTTGTAATAGGAATTAAGGTAATTAGCCTTTTAGTGTGAAATTTTATGTTAATCTGGCTGAGAGCTGATCTGTGATTAATGTTTGCTGTAGACTTAAGTGCCAGAGCCTTAACAGAGCCTGAAGTTTTCTTCCGCCACCCCTCTGTTGACTTGAATTTCCCTAAATTCTCCTTAAATAAAATCTATGTCTTGCAGCTCTCTCATTTCTAACACACTATCATTTACTGGCCTGTGATTCTTTCTAATGTCTGTCTCTCCAGTTCTCAGGGTGGCAGTGTGCCCTGTGACCTCAGTTCTCTGATATAGCTAAGAAAAGTCATTGTTTTCCAGGTTGTTCATCTTTTTTATTATTGTGAAGATAGGAGTGATGACCTTGCAAACTCTTTACATGTTGGAGCTGAAATCAGAGGTGTCTTCTCTGGGTATCAAACCCAGCTTAGCAGCTACTTCCTTTCAGTGGTTTAAAGATGTCATCAGTTTCCTCCTGGCTTCCATTATTTTCTGTTGAAACATCAGCAGTCAGATATAGTCTTGTCTTTCTGAGGCTCATGTATCTTTTTTCCGCTGGCTGGTTTTAAGACCTTCTCTTTGTTTTTTGTGTACAGCAGTTTTACTCTGATGTGCTTAGGTGTGGTGTTCGTTGTATTCACCCTGCTTGGGATTACAAAGCATCTTGAATCAGTCCTGCAAAATTCTCGGCCGTTTTTTCTTCTGCCCCATTCTCTCTTTCTTCATCCGGGACTCCAGTTACACTATATTAGACCTTTTTTTAATGGTTTCTCACATGTTTGGTGTGCATCTCTCTATACCTCTAAATCCTATTTTCTTTCTCTGTATTAGTCTGAATGTTTTCTATCAGCCTATATTCCAATCACTAATAGTGTTCTGCTGCATCTTATCTGCTGTCAAAACCACCTACAGCATGTTTAATGTAGGTTATTGTATGTTCAAGTTCTGTGATTTCCATTTGATTAATTTTTTTTTACACATTCTAAGTCTCTAGTGAAGTCCTTCATCTTTTATCTGTTGTCTCCTTCTTTTCATCCATTAAAAATATTAGTCACGACCATGCCCTACTGCGATGACGCTAATATCTAGATCACTTGATATTGTCCTTTGTTTTGGTTTTCTAGTGTTTGCTCCTGTCTTTGGCATGCCTGCACATATTAGATTGACTGTCAGACATTGTATGTTAAAAAATGGTTGCATATGGATGATATGACCTTACTACAGAGAGAAAATTCTGTCTTTCCTTTCCAAGGCAGATAGAGGGGGACTAATCCATTCAGGGACTGAGCTAACTCCAGGCTGCGTTGCAATTTTGATAACGATTATTTATCTCTGGTTCTTTCCTACTCCTGGGCAAAGTCCTCCAAGGATTCCTGCTGAGATCTTGGAGTATAGGTTGGAGCCCCTTGCCCAGAAGACCCTGAACTCTAATCTTTCTATCTCAGAACTGCAAGCCTGTTGCCGTCAAGTTGATTCTGACTATAGCGACCCTATAGGACGCAGTAGAACTGCCCCGTAGAGTTGCCAAGGAGTGCCTGCTAGATTCGAACGGCCAACCATTTATTTAGCAGCTGTGGCTCTTAACCACTACACCACCAGTGTTTCCTCAGAACTGCAAGATGTTGAAAAATCTTCAGAGGTTTCCTGCCTGGCTTCTTAGCCTCCTGTCCCATACAACTTCAGAACCCATCAACCTTTGTGAGGGCAAATTTACAGAGTGCAAGGCTCAATTCTCCACCATCCCTTCTCAGTGGGGCTTGGCTCCTCAATCTCTAATCTCTATCTCTCTATCCCCCCATAACATGTCAGCAGCTCTATAGTTTTCTTAGTAGTAACCATTTGTTACTTTGTAGTAACGCTTTGTCTCGACTTTTAGTGTCATGTCCATATCCAGAAGCATCCAGTGCCCTGAGTGGAAAAGCGGGTGCCCAGAGTGGGCTTACATCTCTGAGAGGTCTCTCCTTCTCAGGGATTTTGCCTCCTCAAGTAATAATTGCCTAGTCTGGTCTCTAGGTTCTCCTTCACTGTCCCATTGCTGTCAGTTCTGACTCATAGTGACCTTATAGGACAGAGTAGAACCGCCCCATAGAGTTTCCAAGGAGCAGCTGGTGGATTCGAACTGCTGACATTTTGGTTAATAGCCGAACTCCTGACCACTGTGCTACCAGGACTCCACCTTCACCATAGCTCATGTGATTCGCCCTTCTCACTTACTGCATGCCTGTTCCTGCAGGAGGACCCTTGCCCTACCTGTGAGCTCTGTTAGACTGTTTCTCCCTCGGCTTTTTCAGGGATGGATCCCTCTTATCATTTAGAATTCCACTTGATTATCACCTTCTGATACCTGCCCTGACCATCAAATCTAAAATCGGCTCTCACTCCTTTCGCTGTAGCTCATTTCCATCTTCTGTTTCATCTAGCACTAGCCACACACAGCATGATTATTTTTATGGTTGTATTTGTTTGTCTTTTTTTGTTTCCTGACCAGTAGGTAAGCTCCATGAGAACGGGGACTGTAGGTGCTCACCGCAGCACCCCCAGCTGCCACTCCAGTGCCTGGCACATAGTAGGCCCTTCTTTCATTGACATTAGTTGAGTGAACCATTGAATGAACAAATGGATGAGTGTACATTCAGCTTGGAATTGAGTTTAATGGAACACAACAATTTGACGTTGATAATATAAATGTTGGTATGGATGTGGAGCCACTGGAACTCTCATACACTGCTGGTGGGAATGTTAAGATGGTACGGCCGTCTTGGAAAACTGTTGGGTAATATCTACTAAATCCAAACATACACCTACACCATGTCCCAACAGTTTCATATGCCTCCTAATGACATATACAAGAATTCTCATGGGAGCTTTACTCATCTTTGAATCAGAAATAACTCAAATGCCCCTCAAGAGGAAAAGGAATAATAAATTATAGTGTATTCACACAGTGGCATCCTAGTTACCCATAGAAAAAACAAAACTACCATTAAATCCAACAACATGGATAAATTTTATGACATTATGTTGAATAAATAAACCACACACAAAGGGTACTTAATGTATTCATAACGTACTTCCATTCATGCGAAATTAAAGAACAGGCACATGTAGCTTATGGAGACAGAGGTAAGAATAGTAGTTACCATTGGGTCAGCGGTGGCTGGGGAGCTGGAAATTGTCTGTGTTTGATATGTGTGGTGGTTACATGGGGGTATGGATACGTAAACGTCATTGAGCTGTATAATTACAGTCACTGCATTTTACTACATGTATGTTATACTTCTATAAAAGGAAGAATAAAGTTTGTGGAGGACATGCTATGTACCACACAGTAAGGATATATTAGTAAAAAAGACAGCCCTGCCTCGCCAACCCAGCGCTGACTATCACATGGGAAAGACAATAAACTGTCAGTTACAGGGACTGGGACAGCCGCAGCCACCTTCCTCCAGCCTCGGAATTGCTCTTGAGTCAAGATATCTCCAGTTGTACACTTGCAGCTCCATGACAGGGGTCCTTGTGTTTGTGAACTCGAGTCTATAACAGCCCACAGGACACATGATGTCACTGGGCTCCAGGGGAAATGTACTGAACTCTGGTGCTTCGGTGTCTGTGACATGGGTTGGTACCAGGTTTGTGTCTCTGACCCGTGTCCCTC